GGTCCACAAAACAAAAAAAAAAAAAAAAAAAAAAAAACCTCTCCAAAAAAAGAGAACAGATATAAATGTGTATATGTGTGTATATATGCGCATATACATAGGGATTATCAGGTTTTAGTCTCCCTTGGTATTTATGTCTTATTCATTCTGTTTTGATTTTTAGTCAATACCTTCCATACTTCTACCTGTGTCTCCTCATCAATCATTTAATATTTGGATTGTATTAATAGCTTGTGTTTTAACCACGTATGTGATTGGTCAAACTTCATATTTGAAAATGTCATGGGAAAGCTTTAGTTATACTCTACATCGCAGTTATCCTTGATAGGATTTTTCTCATCATTTGTCATTTCACACATCTTGTAAGATTATTCATCTTAACACTTACCCCTTTTCCAAGTAAAAGTTACAAAAATACTTTTAAAAAAATCCCCACATATTGAATTTAACTAAGTTTTAAAATGTCTTTACAAATCAAATCTATCGTGGGGCGGAGGGTTGGATGTGCTCGTCCCTGGGGAAGATATTGGAAGATAGAAAGGTATTTGGGAAATTTCTACCTCAAGCAAGGTCTTTACCCACATTCCGTGAGAGCTGGCATACGCAGCTCTCACTCCTCTCAGGGCTTCCTCGGGGTCTGGCCTCATGCACAGGCTGCTTCGTGGCTCTGCCAGCTTCCTCACCTGTAGGAGGAAGGTGTTGCTCTAGGGCTCAGCGTCCTCTACATGAGTTTCTGCCAAGAAGTCCCATGTTCAACAGCCCCAGAGTTACCGAAATTCCTTCTTACCCAGTAGGTGGGGCTGTGTGCACATCATCTTGCCAGAAAAATTGTAAAGCCTCAAAAGTAGGCCTTACTATGTTCAGCCTTGAGAATGACCAGATCCCGGAGTTTAACCTTCACACGTGACCTAGGTAACTCAGTACATGAATTGACTACGTCAGGGCACCATGAGCTGCGCTGCCTGAGACTGAGGAACAGGCAGCAGGGACCACTTGGTCAGCAACAATCAGGTTAACACTTGTGTTCCATTCCAGAAAGTCCTCTGACAAACGCAGCAAGAAAGGAATTAGTGATTGTTACTAAGGTTGGAGAGCTCAGAATACCACTTTAGGATAGTTAAAAGCTTCCTAAATGTTCAACATTATGATAGTTTTCTTGTTTTAGGGGGGAGAGAGAAAAATAAGACAGGATACATAAGGGTTTATTCACTAAGTTTCAAAGTACTAGAATTAGGAATCATTACTTCTAGTTAAAGGAAGTAATTTTTAAACAAATATGAGAAAATTCAACTTTTTCCAATTGGAGTATATTGTAGAACCCTTCACCCCAGAGCTTGGACGGTTTGGAGTATACATATCGGGTCATCAGAAAGGCCGTGACATACTTTTCTTTGTTTTCCTATGGAAAGATGCATCATTACTCTTCTGACAACCCAATACATATACTTTGGTGCATAAGAAATCATTGTATGCGTTTAAGTACAATTAGGGCAGAGGTGTTTCTCTTTTACAATAGCAATAGTATAGAGGATATTAAATATTTTTAGAGCAAACCAAGTTCTGTGAAATATAGCAGTATGGCCATTTGTCAAAGGTTCTAAAGTTTCAGGTTCTTGATAGGGGCCAAATACAGGCATTTTTACGTTCTGTAGTAGGAAATTCTCACCCCTGGCTGACAGAACAGAAACTAGTTTCTCAGAAGGGTTAAGTTTTAAGATCACCCCCACAGCCTAGTGGTTAAGGGAAGCTAGAGCCCACATGGCCAACTGTGGTACAAGTCCCTGCCCTACCAACCTGAAAACATAACAGGTGTGTGTGCATGTGTGCCCAAAATCTCAACGGATAGAGAACTGAAGGAGGAGACAGGATTGCAGTGTGACCACACCTGGTGGGGGTGCCTCCTCCCCCATCTCTCTCTCTCTCTGTCTCTCTCTCTGGCAAGCACATGTACCCTCTGGCAATGTGGAGGGGCGGGGAGAAGAGTCGATTTCACACGGGGCCTTGCGTGTAGAGAAATGCAGACTACTTTGGAAAGCTGAATGTTGCCACCACTCTGGTAAGGTTCAGTGACGACGGAAGAGCCTGGCAGCTTATGTGCCAGCCAGAACTCAGGGTATGACCCAAGGATGGGAGGGGCCTTTCGTGGGGTGAGGACTCTGTTAGGTTTGTGCTTTAAGAATCTAATCATGGGGGCCAGCAAGTGGCATAGTGATTGAGGTGCTGGACTCCCACAGGACCAATCATGGTTCAAGTCCTGAAGCCAGCAGCTTGAAACTCATGCCAGGTGCGTGTGCATGCGTGCCCAAAATCCTGAGAGAAGAATGGAGGAGAAGGGACTACAACGTGGCCATCCCTCCTGGAGTTGGGGGGAGCATTTCTCGTTTTCTGTCTCTCTCTCTCCAGCGAGCACATGCACTCTATAGAAAAAAAAAAAAAAAAACTCTCAAAAAAAAAAAAAAGAAAGAAGAATCTAATCATGGTGGCAGGCAGGCAGGCAGGCAGAGAGGTGCAGCTCAGAGGCTCTGGCAGCATTCCAACAAGTAACAGGGAAGATGTGGACTAGAACAGCAGAGAACAGAGGCCTGGCCCAAGAAGCATTTCTCAGGGGTGCGAGTGCTAAGGAGGGCTACCTGACTCACCCGCTGCCCCATTTACCCAAATATTAGAGAAAAACAGCAGGAAGTAGAACCAAGAATTATCTTCGCTCAGTGGTGAGGGGAGGGGAGAAGAGTTCAGTTTGGAATATGTTTAAGTGGAGATGTCCAGGAAGATGAGAATGCGGCTCTGGCACGTGGGAGCGCGGTTGGAAGTAGAGTTTGGGTGATTCGCGTAATCCATTGACGCTGCGACAGCAAGGAGCTCACCCAGTGAGGAGTGAAAGACGGTCAGCTATCTCTGAGGTGGAGAACTGGAGGGAGCAAACGGCATCTTCCCACAGCTCTGTCTGCACCGCCACTGAAGGTGTGACTGAGCGGGGACCACTTACACTCAAACATGGGGACAGGAAAAGCAGGCCTGTGGGCCACATCCATCTCAGCTCTGTAGGTAGTTTTGCTGGAACACAGCCATGCCTACTGCTCACTGTGGTCCATGACTGCATTCCT